TTTATTGGACTTTCGCTACGTGCTGAGGCAATATCTTTGTTATTTTTCAATATATTTTCATTGATTCAGACACCTATGGAATTCTTGGAAGTTGAACTGGTAGCAAGTAACAATAAACATACAAAGCTTACTGTACCGTAGCGTTAGAAACATACATTCCAGTAGAACGGACAAATGAAGATCGTAACTTGTGCAATACATTGTATACGAGGTACGCACATAAATATGTGCACTGCTTCTCACTTGAACAGTTTTGCCTAGAAATACACCCATAAGTTTTAGACACAGGGGTTATTCACACCAACGGTGTACATTTCATAGTCAATTACAGCAACGTGGGCACATATTATGGTTAAACTTCGTTTTGGGACATCATTTTCTTTTGACTATTTTACATAGTCTGATAATATTTAATAAATATAAACGAAATAGAACGATTTTAAATATCGAAATCCATTTTTAAAAATTGTATGAAGTTAAAGTTTGGAAGTTTGCTACAGGTTAATTGTACAGCTTTCTATAAATGTGGAAACCAGGTGAGTTTTATTCTTTACTAAAACACATACCGGGTTCAGTATGTTCTTGTATGCCTTCATGTGAATTTCGTTTTACAATTTCGTTTTACGTTTTACAATTTCCGATTACTGTTATGTGACAGATGTTTGCGTTAAAAAATTTCGCTTCGTCAATCATTAAAAGCATGCAAAAATATGAATGGATTTGTAAAGTATTATAAATACGGCTGGCTAAATAAATATTTAGCGTAATCACTATTCCTTGTACTCTTCTATACTTACATATGTATATCATGTGTCAGAACAACGATTAATGAACTAGATTTTGAGGTTCCTCTTAGTAGATTCCGACATTCAAAGTTAACAAATTTCGTCTATACTCATCAAAAACCGTCTGATTATGCAAAAAAGTTTTTAAAAAAATAGTGTCTCAAAGCGAAGTTTCGATAAATTATTAAACACAATTTATCCGTGTTAAGTGAACAACACGTAGAAGTTGTTCAATAATGCAGTAATTCTTCTCACAATGCAACGGAGGCCGGAATGGAAAATACTCACTGTGGGAATAATGGACACGAAATTTGAAAATCGGCGGCTGTTCATTGCTCGCCACGGCTCGCCTTTGTCAGCTCACCAATCTAAGTGAAATAAAAGACGGCAAGACATTTAAATGTCTGATGATATTCCAACAGTGTTTCCAGAAGCAATACAGGAATTGGATCTGGGGGGAGTTACAAAGTGAGAATTCGGTATGTGTTTTCGGACCGATTTGAGGGGGGTTACGTTGCCAAGTGAGAATTCGGTAGGTCTTCTCGGGCCGATCTAAGGAGGAATACGGGTCCCGCATTGCAAAATGAAATGGTATGTTTTCGAGCCGATCTAGGGTGGGATATGCGCTCTTCGATGCAAAATGAGAATTCGATCACAGTTCTCGAGTCAATCTGTTGGAGTAATCCATTTTTTAGTGAATGTTCAATATTATCCAAATTATATCGATGCTGGTATCCGGCTCGAAGGACCAAATGTTAACGCTCGTGGTTGAAATAAATTCTTTCAAGCTTTGTTAAATATTGCACGTGGTGCAATATGCTGACTAAATTTGTGTTTATTCTAAAGTATATAACTATTTCCTTACTCGAAGGACCACTCCAAAACTTGGAGACTATACAAACTAATACAAGATGTGGCTATGTCGAATCGCTATGTCGAATATTGAGAAGCGAATGACATTTTTCTTATGAACATGAAGGTACGTTACACGCTTACAGTTTTTACATGGTGAGGGTGAGGGAAAAATACTTAATTTCTATTGGCTGTACAAATGGGGTGGAAATGGAGGCTTGTGACGTATGAAGAATATGGGTTTTTCCCAAAAAATGACCATAGCAAGTAATAAAACCAAGCAGTACCTCGACATGAATAGAAAATGAAAATAACGGACTCCACTGTTAAGCTTAAGGTTCTGGCAATCAGATGTAAGGCAATAAACTAAAATACTCGATACAATGTAACGACTCCTTGGGTGTTATTGCTGCTATAGGTAAAGAAATTAACCGAAGGTCTGACCCTTCGCTATGGAACTAAATTCTAAAAATTTAATAACGGGCCTAAACATATCGTGTTTGGTCTCATTTTAATCGGAAAAATCTCACGAATATGTTAAAAAAGTTTGCAGTAAAAAAAAAGTAAGAATTAAAAAATTATACTGCTGTATTAAGAGCTAAAAATCTGTAAATTCGTATTAAAGGAACCCCGGTTAGTTTCGTGTTACATTTAGACTTGCTCGAGCGAGGGTAATATAGGCGCACATATGGCGTACGTATAGGCGCAGGAAGAGACGTTTTGCACTGTGGGAGGGAAACAAGTGTTGCACTGTAGGAGGATTTACTGTATCTTTTCTTGTAGTAAATTCAATATTATTCTGAAATCATAACGGTGGTTTTGATCCATTATATTACATATCCGTAGAACACTAACAAGTAAGTCAATTTCATCGAACACAAAATCTGAGATATTTATTAATGGAGTACTAAGTTCATAGCAGTTTGTGCACATCTGATCAATTCATTTCAATGTATTTTCAGTTAGTTAAATACTAATCACCACTTTCTAACATTCAGGATCCTAAACAATTATTAAAGTATGCTTAGGTATAAATAAAATTTTTTTGCAAATCTTCATCGAGTATTGAAAAACTTGAAGGCATAAAACTTTTGAAGAAGAAGAGAATTAAAACCGTGAAATTACAAAAAAGAAAGTAATAATTTCTTTAATGATTGTAAGAACGATGTGATAAAATATAAAATAAGAATAAATAACAGTTACAGTGGAAAAGAGAAAAAAAATCAATTTTACGCATTATTATGTATTAAAAACATTTCTAATGCAACGTGGAGCTACGTTTAACAATATGAAGCTATTTTTCAGATGAAGGTTCTGAGGAAAGGACGAAGCGAAATAATTAGGTATATTTCTGTACAATAGGGGAAAAGCTTAACACAAATAGTAAATATAAGAGCTCAATCTATTTGTACCTGTTGTTCGAATAATAAGTATACAATACTTCCTAAGTTATACATTTAACACATAACAACGGTGTTATAAAATTGAAAAATATACAGGGTGGCTCACCACATTTTGCCATCTAGATT